GTGTGTGTGTGTGTGTGTGTGTGTGTGTGTGTGTGTGTGTGTGTGTGTGTGTAAGGGTTGGTCCCCAAAGGCCATTACAATCATTAATTTGATGGTACACCCTATTGTTGTATTTTTTTTGTATTGATGCTAGTTAATTTCACTAGTTTTAATCTTCTACGGTAGGTTACGTACTCTTATTATACGTTCTTGTGCACCCATCCCGAATTTGTGTCTGCATTTGCAATTGTAACATGCTCTGCTAAATATCATCAGGGATGGATTGTATAGCATGGGCTGATATTTGACAAACTGCACGACCTTGGATGAGCCCTATGAACATTCCCGTACGTGCCGCAGACAGCACAAATAAAAAACTTGTTTTCTGTACAAGCCAGCAGTTTCATCTATTGTATCTGTTGTTTTCTGTACTGGTTGTTTGAGATACTGTATGAGAGAGAGTCAGTTTCGTTCCAAGGCTGTTGGACTTTACCTCAGAACAGGATCGTGAACAGTGCCACGAACAAAGCTAAGCCTCCAGACCGGCCATCGATCAAGGGGTCCCCAAAGGGCAGAGGGATGTGAGACTTGTTGCTTGTGTTTTCTTTATCTTTTCCATCTATTATTACCACTATAATCATTTATTATTACTTAATAAACATTCATATTTAACCAAATTGCTGCTGAGCCTTCTCTTAATTATATTTACCCGAATCTGAAAAGAACCACTTGGATACACACTGTGATCCAAGACAGGGCTGTGTCCTAATTCATTGGCTGAGACATGCCATTCTGAGCCTGCCTTGAAATTTTAGCAAATAATGCTGGCAGCTTGAGTGTCTTGAATTATGTGTTCTCATGCCCTGACCTCAAGTTGGGGAGGGGAAAGAGGTGTTTATTTGCCATGATAAAATGAGACAAAAATTTGGCTACTTTAGAACGGTCAGTAAATATTACACAAACAATGAAAATTGCTGCTTATTTAATCATGCAGCCTGAGGAATAACTTGTTTTTTAAAATTATGAAGAGGCTGATTTAACTAGATTCGGAGAAAATGATAAATCCAAGACCGTCACCAATAAAATGAAACAAAGAATGCAGGAGACAATTTTCGAATAATTATTAAGAATGAGGAGGATTGGAACTTGTTATCACAGTGAGGTTGAGATGAATGGCATTCATGCATTTATGGAGAAGCTAGCTAAGTAATTAAGGAAGAATGGAACAGAAGTATGCCTTAATGGAGCAAGATGAAATAAGGTGGAAAAGTACTTCTATGGAGCAAATGCTTGCTGGGCCACACAGACCATTTCTGTTCAGTTGGTTCATTGCAATCAACTGGTCTATTTCTGAATTCGACAGACTATACACACAGTGCTCTGAATGACATCCAAAAAACTAAAATTATTCTACAGCATTGGCTATTTCCATTCAAAGCAATGGAATCAGGCATTCATGTCAGTCTCACCCTACTTGGGAAAAGATGGGTTGTTACTACGTTCTGATGCAAGCATAGAGTGTCTTTCAGACCACATTTTCAAACTGATGTGATGAAAATCATGTTAGCTATTAAATTTTGACAAGCTAATCTTGCTACACCTATAAACTGTTTCATAGCAGCTTGAATGCAGCAGACGAAGCAGAAATAGTTTGAAATTCTTGTGATCTGCCAATTATGGTTCTCATTTCTCTGGCTTGGTTATAGTACTGCCTTACCGTACTGATTCCTGCACCAGAGTAGATCACTGGGTATTGTGCTTCTTGAATAGCTGCTGCCAGCAGGTTAATTTTTCTCCTTAGTTCTTCGGGTTCATCAATAACCTAACAAGAATAAATAGCAGAGCTGTCACAGCCTAAACATTTAAATGCATCTAATCTACAAAAGCACCTTAAGGAACTGTATTCTGCAAATTATTTAAAAGAGTAAAGAAACCTTGCATTTATAGAATGCCTTCCATATCTGGGAGATATCTCAAACTGCTTAAAAGCAATTAATATCTAAAATGTAGCCTGATGGAAATCAAGGCCTGGTTTTCCTGGAGTATTTATAAAATCTTTAACGTTTATGAAAGTATGCACAATTCCCAAATGTACTGATCTTTAGATCCAGATAGAAAGCACAGACCAAGTTTCTGTATTTAACTAGAATTATTTACTACAAATAAATTCGAGCTATAGGTAAATAATTATGAACCATCGATACATACAGTTAAACATACAGTTTAAAATTTCCCCTACAAACATATACAGACAGACAAGAAAAGTGGATGTTACGGGCAAAGGGAACAACAGGGAAAGTAGTTCAATGATGCCTGACCACAGGTTTTGCTGTTTTTTGATCTTCTTTCTCCTGGTACTTTCAGGAGATACTTGCTTGCAGGAGACACAAGGTGACCAATTCACACTTGTAACATCTCCAATTCATTGGTTCAATGTAACAGCTCACACCAACATTTTTGTCTCTCTGCAGATTGCATGGATGCTTTGCAGAACACCTATATTCCGTCTGTAAAAACAACCCTGAGCTTCTGGTTGCCGGCCACTTCAAAACATCACTGTGTTCCCACATCAACATTTCTATCTCAGGCCTGCTGCAGTGCTTCTACGAGGCTCAGGGTAAGCTGGAAGAGCTGGTTCTCGTATTTTGCTTGGGGTCCCTGCAGCCTTCAGGACTCAATAAGCAAGTTCAATAACTTTAAAACCTGAGCACCCCTTTCCATGTCCTTTACCCACTCCCATAGCTAGTCATGACATGAGCTGTTTCAAGCACAACCAACACATTTTCACTCACTCATGGTCCCCATTATCAGCTTTTCTTCTTCCCTGGCTTACTATCAACCATCCCTTTGTCTGCCTAACTTCTCCCCACCCAAAACTCTTTCTGGGCTCCATCTCCACCTATCCACTCACTCCATTCCCTGTCATTGGCATAACAACCATCTTTTATAGTTGTCTGTTCTGGAGAAAGGTGACCGAACTTGAAATGTTAACCCTGCTTTCTCTCCAGATGCTGCCAGACTTGCTGAGTTTCTCCAGCAATTTTTGTTTTGTCTTAGACATCTTTGCGCTCTTGGCTAATACTTATTCCTCAACAAAGATCACTAAAACAGATTATTTGGTCACTATCACAAATTGACTGTTGTTTCTTACATTACAATAGTGACCACTTTTCAAAAGCTATTAAGACATTGTGAAAGGCAAGGAAATGCATGTTCTTCTCCTTGTAGTCAGTAGAAGGAATAATAGGAACTGGTCATAACAGTAGTCCAATACTACAAGAAGTTCTAAATTTAATTTTAAATTAATTGTTTCTCTAACTTAAATCACTATTAACCAAGCCTGTTACTGTGTATAACTGACCAATGTGGAAGTTCAGGAGTCAACTACAAAGCACGAGACAAATTACTTACCTCTTCAAGTTTCCTCTTTCGTGCCTCAGTCTTCTGTTTTCGCTTTTCCAACTCCTGCACAGTATCAACACATCCTGCAAGCACAGCAAGGTCATCCTTTGTTCGTAGTTCTTCTGGTTTTTGTAGGATTTTGGAGACCTGCAAGATATTCAGATATGGAGCTATTAGAAGAAATGGGCTACTAAATGGGCTAATACATTATCATCAGTTGAAACCCAAGCACATTCAATTATCCAACTTCCTTATACTAAATGAAGAAAAATATTTTTTAAAAAAGGTACATAGAAACGGCGAGAAAATTGAATAAGAACAAATAACTACTGTGGATAAAGTGAACAGATTCCTCAATTTTGCAAACAACAACCTGAGGGTATTAGTTTGCAAACTTTAATATCAACAGATACATTCTTAGTGCTAGCAAGTAGCAGTTACTTACAGTCATGTTTGAAGTGAAAGCTGTTTAACATGTGAAGGAATGGCATAAAAAAAGCTTAAGAGTGCACACTTCCATTTACGGCCACAATTTAGCACTGCCAAATAAAGAGCTTGGAACAAGGTTTCAATGCCTGTCCTGACAAAATAAAAGTTGTACTCGAGCCAATTCATTTTATCACTGTACCTATGCTGTTCTTGTGCAAGGCTCTTCATAGGTTACCTCATGTCACTTCCACAACTACCAAATCGGTCATGTATTGAACAAGTCAAAAATGTTCCCTCGCGGCACATTCCCAGTTTATAAGTCCCAGATATTTTCCCTTGAGTAATCATTCTGATTAATCAGAAACATGTTTTCAAACTTATATGTTTATTAAAAGTAGTGCACAGATAAAGACAGCAAAAAGAAATTAACTGTTACCGCTGAGCGTTTTAAACATTTCAAATTTCAAGAGCCCATGGAGGCTCAGTGGTTAGCACTGCTGCTGCACACCCTTGGGCAACTGTGTGTTGAGTGTGCACATTCTCCCTGTGTCTGTGTGGGTTTCCTCCGGATGCTCCGGTTTCCTCCCACAATCCAAAGATGTGCAGGTTAAGTGACTGGCCAAGCTAGATTGCCCATAGTATCCAGGGATGTGCAGGCTAGGTGGATTAGCCATTGAGAAGTGCAGGGTTATATGGGTGGGAGTGTGGGTCTGGGTGGGTTGGTGTGACACTGAGGATTCTACCAACAGTCACATTTCACTAAGATCCTATTGACAACTATTATTTCCATCTTCAGTGGATACAAAATATGTGAATTTTAGAAACTTTGCAATGAAACTGAGAAAAGAAATCCGCGATAATCTCTGATGAAATATGGGATTCAACAACAATAATATTTCATCAAGAGAAGGTATAGACATAGTAAAACATTACAAAATTTAGAGATGTGCAATAAGGCAGTCATAACTTATTCAATATTATAGATCAGTGACATCTCTAAACAGGTTGATTAGAAAAATGTTAAATCTTTTTTCTAATGCTAGAGACAGTTGAATGTTCAATCTTTGACAGTCACAAAAATGCCAGAGTGTCCCATTAAAATGGCTTCATGCTGTTTATTCATGGGCCAGACATGACAAACTTTAAACAAATACTCATTGTACTAAAAGAATAGCATGGAAAGCTTTCATGTAGTTAACTGAATTTACAGTACTGATGAATAGTTTTTCAAATCAGGCACTTGCCTTGGTGTCTCCATGTTAATTAGCAATACTCTAGCAAACTAACTCTGAAGTGACTCATGCCAACATGCTACCTCTCGCAGATGCAACCATTTGTAGGCAAACCAATTTTCTTTCACTTTGCAAACAACACTTTTATTTTCATAATAAACTGGGGTGCTTTCCAGAGATTGCACTGCAGCAGTGACTGTAAAGATTCATAAGACTAATCATGGGATTCAGGGAGAATGTGCACACTCTACAGATTGAAATGAGTCATCATAACCTTCTGGATAGTCCCAGACACAGATGGCCAGACAGCACAGAGGAATGTAGTTGCTCTTCCCACCACAGCAACACAGGTGATCATAGTAATTGGTTTGTGTCCCTGGGTCATGTTGCCGCAGAACACTCCAAGTAGTTGGACTATACCATACCACCTGTCCCTTGTGGAAAAAATTGCATAGGAAAACTCCTTTAACCACATGTCCATCAGGCAATGGTCAGCGCATAACATCCTCAAGACCCTGTGGGAAAAGGAGAGGGTAGATCCTGTTGGATTGTTCCCTGAGTGGACTGTCAAAGTTATTTGGCGGATTGCCTCATCACTAGAGCTTTCCAACAAGCGCAAGACATTGCTTGGCTGGTGGTGAGAAGGGCACTAACCATCAGATCCTTCACTTATGCCCAGAAACTCACTACCACCTCACACTGTCCACGAAGCAGCAGCAGTGAAAAAGAGACCATCACACATCTCTTTCTGGAATGTGCCTTTGCAAAGAAGATCCAGAGAGAGATACAGTGGTTTCCGTTGAGATTCATTCTGAGCAGCACTTGTGCCACAGCTCCACAGGCTATTCCCCAGGAGTACACCAAGACAAACATCAATTGCACCTGAAGGACCATCGACTCAGTGGATGACGCTCTTTGGTCTGCCCAAAACTTGTTGCTCTTCTAGTGCAAAGAGTTGAGCTCGACTGACTGTTGCAACTGGCACATTCCAAGATCCGGTACTATATGCGGAGGAATGCACTAAAAAGCTTGAGGCAGCTGCCACCAAGGCACTGAGGGGTAAGGTCTAATGTCTTCCTGCTAAAACATGAGGGTCTGTTCCATTGAGATACCCAGGTAGTCATAATGGAAATGTAAATAGTTTCCTTTCATGTTTAGGTGATGCCTTTTTTGTTGCAACTGTGTTGAAGCTCTAAGGAGGAATGTTAAAATTCCACTGTATTTTCTGCAAAGTCTGTACAGAACTGTTTTGTACTTGTAATTTACTTGCAGATAGTTTACGAATAACGTATATTTTTGGAATAAAAAAAGTTGGCTCGTTTTTCCTTTTGCTCAACAATTTGGTCCCTTCCTTTGAAACCACTGATTGCATACTGGAGTACAAATCAAAGAATCCAGGCACCTTCTAGTGCTTTGCCCAACTAGCCATTCTTCACAGCAAGGAAGCATCTCAGCTTACTCCAATTCTATTCTTAACTCATCCAGACAGAAAAGGAGCAGCAATCAAGGACCTTAGCAGCCCCCCTCCACCCAGTTGTAGTGATTGGATCAAGGTTAGCCAGGTGGATCTCTGAGTATGAGATCCCTGATTAGGGCTGTTAACGTAGGCCAATTAGGGAATCCTGGCTGATAGATATAAACAGAAGTCTCCTCTTTCGCGGTTATGTTCGAGCCTGGTGTCATTGGAGAGGGAGCACACAGCATCGACCAGCGCTCTTGATGCCTTTGGGGAGAAGTGGGCATCGTGGGGAATGCAGTGCTTTATGTTTCTCTCCAACTCTACTTTGAGTTAGTCCCGTCCTTCAACCCCTACCCTCCCCTTCACTTTTTGATGTAATCATTGCCCTTATCAGGCTTTGCTTGTTAACGCTTCACTAGCCACATGGGTGCTTTCCTGGTGGTGGAAAGAATAGGATACAGTCTGTGTACAATGCTGTCTTTCTTACTGAGTCACTAGTGATACACACACAGCCACAGGTGATCTGGGGAAAATATAAGCACTAAGTTAGACCTTTGGGGGCAACAGAAATGCAGTGGAATACTTAAGAAAAAGTAAATAAGAAAAAATTTTTTAAAATAAACAGGAGTCTCAGGGATTCTCCTCACTCTGGGGATTGGCTCTGAGCTAGCTGGTCAGAGTCCACGTACTGCGAATGTGTAAATAAAGGGTGACTTGGTGACAGGATATCAGCCTCCATGTTGTTATTTCAGTGGCGACGAGAAAAGATAGTACACTCCTGAAGAAAATTTGCTCGCAACAACAGTCTTTGAGTTGGGGTAAGCATTTCTGGCATCATGCTTTTATTTGGGAAACCTGACTCATTCAATCCTACCCTCAAAGACTGGGCCCAGAATGTGGAAAGAATGCATTATTTTTTCTGGGCAAGTGACATTGGGGCAGAAGAAAAGCACAAGCAATTTTCATGACAGCTTGCAGACCTGCAGCATCTTTGCTTATTGGAAGCCTAACTTTCCCTGAGGCACCAGATTCTAAAACCTTTCATGAGTTGACTAATTTAATTAAGGAATATTATGACCCCAAGCCTCTTCTACTTCTGAGAACCAAGGGAATTTGTACCAGGATTTTTGATGAGGATAAGATGCCTGGCAGAGGCATGTGATTTTGGATTAACTGAATGAGATGCTGGGACACCATTTGGTATGTAGAATTAACAACACAACGATGCAAAAGCATCTTCCATCTGAAGCTCAACTATACTTCAAACAGGCAGTACAACTGACTGTGTCATTAGAAAATGCGGCAAGTGGAGCACGTGAGCTACAGGATATTCCAATGGAAGTGGACACCCTTGCACATTCAACTGAGCTCGAGGAAAGCCACTTGAGTGTAGGCAATCGCATAGTCTCATGCAGGACATATCCTGAGCAGAGGGACTCTAGGTCAGCCACTGCAAAACTCCAAAACAAAGCCAAGCCTCGGCCAAATGGCTAAAATGTTCAAGATCCGGGCTGACAAGCCATTGTAAATGCTGCTGATATGCAAACTTGAGACAGTAAAGGAGTTCTACAAGGCCTGACTTGAGTAACAGAAGTCATAGACTGGTATCCAGGACAGTGCACGTCCTGGAAGTCTATATACATGCAGTTTGGAACAGTTAAATTCTTTAGCAACATCCAAATCGG